TGTGAGTGTGTACTGTTAGGTTTGGCTCTCGCTGCCAGGATCATCCGGCACCATGTTATAAATTATAATGCGGAAGGTTGAAAAGACAACAACAGCAACAACAACAACAACACTGTCAACAAAGAGCAATAAAAGCAATCGCCATCAACAACAATAACAACAGTAACAACCAACAAAAAATAAACAAAAACAGCATCAATAAAATCAACAACAAAAAACTAAAACGAGAACAGCAGCAGCAAGAAGAAGAAGAAGAAGAAGAAGAAGAAGAAAAAGAAGAAGAAGAAGAAGAAGAAGAAGAAGAAGAAGAAGAAGAAGAAGAAAAACAACAACAACAACAACAACAACAACAACTCGTCCTTTACTGCTCACCACAACGTTTCCATTCAGAACTTTGCACATTTCTCGTAAAACTGCTTTCAACAAACTCAAAGCCCACATGATACACAGTGTGTTATAATAAACAGAAAGCAATTACTTTCTCTTTGCCATTATCGCTTCTTGCCTGTCCAGCCTTTTGGGAAATATTCAATGGCTTCTTGGGCAGGGTTTAAGCAAATAGCAGAGGAAGAGATGGACTTGTCTCAGGAGAGCTTGGCAGATATCAATAATTAAGTGGAAGAAAAGCCCACTTTCCGGAGGGATTTTAAAAAGACGAGAGTTCTTAGCTTCGATCTCATGAGAGGCCTCATCGTTACTCCTCTCAGATTGCGCGTTTCGCTGTGTGATTTCTGCTGGGTGACCTGGTGCAGTTAGGACATCTTATCAATATAAGATTTTGACAGATATTACCAACCCCCTCCTCCCTCCTCCCTCTCTGTCTGTCTCCGTCTCTCCTCTGTCTGTGTTTGTGTGTGTGTGTGTGTGTGTCACTGTCTGTCTGTCTGTCTGTCTGTCTGTCTGTCTGTCTGTCTGTCTGTCTGTCTGTCTGTCTGTCTGTTTGTCTGTCTCTATGTCTGTCTCCTGTCTCTCTATCTCTTCTTTGTTTTAATTTCTTTACTCCTCTCCCATCTCTCTCTATCTATCTATCTATCTATCTATCTATCTTTCTATCTATCTATCTATCTATCTATCTATCTGTCTATCTATCTATCTATCTATCTATCTATCTATCTATCTATCTATCTATCTATCTATCTATCTATCTATCTCTCGCTCTCACACACACACACACACACACACACACATACACCACACACTCAAACACACACTTAAACACATATCACACACAAGCAATGTTCACATCGATAAACACGTTTTCAACGCAAATAAATTGCCACAGCATCACAACAGTCATCGCTGTTTATTAATTTACTACATCTAAATACAGTACCTTCTCCCATCAAAACCACAGTAATCTGTGTTTCTCCACAAGTCTTTTACTCCCCCCCCCACCCTCCCCCTTCCTCCCATATCCGCACTCCTCATGTTTCGTCTTCTCGTGATCGATTCCTCTCAGCTATAATAAAACGACAGAGTTAAATGAAAGAAGAATGAAAAATTATTCTCACTCATACTACCTTCCTAATATATTTAATACGATCACTGAAACAAACAGTCAAACAGACAACAACTCTAAAACAAACTTTGCAAAATAATTCTCAACTCCTTTTTTACTCAAATCATCTCAGAAAATTAATGCTTTTATTTCACCTTTCACTCTCACTGAACCTCATTTCTTTTTCAGTAAGAGTAAGAGTACGATCATCATAACATTGCCATTATTAACATTGGGTTTAAAATAAAGGAAAACCAGAAGATACATACATGTAAAAGAGGTATTTGAAATGGAACCATTTCTGCCATATCATCATCCGGTTAAGCATTGAAATAATTAAATCAGATTAGAAGACGTTAACGTCTCAGACCGGTAAGTCTTGGTACTTTTTGTTCTTGTATTTATACATAATGTGTATCACACAGACTTCTGTCTGTCTATAAAGACATAGGGCCTACGTTGCATTTAGGTGTCAGAATCTTTGCAAACTGATTTTTTTTTAAAAACATCCCTTTGAAAACAAACTCCACGGCCATTCATGGAGACCGCTAATCTAGAAACAATCCAGCAGTTGATGAGTGTACCTCCCGACAGTAGGCAACGGGAAACCACTGTTGGAATCTCCCAAGAATAATTATGAGAAGTCAGATTCATTCTAAAGAAACAGATTATAATTGACGGGAAAAGTCTACCGACTCTGCTTGGTTGGAACAACTCGGAGTGAGTGGGATTCAACATCCCAGGGGAAAAAACAACGATAATTATACTCTACGTGTAGTATAAGTATAAGAACAAAAAAAGAAAGCAAAAATAAAACTATGCCAAGATCCCTTGAAGTAAGGAGACAATATTCGATCCGACGAAGAGCGGTACAGGGCGTGTCGCGCTGCAGAAAATGAGAGGCATCGGAAGTTCTGGGGTTCGTTGTCAGCAGAACAGAAGGAGCATGCCAGAGACCAGAGAGCTCTAAAGAGAGCGACAGAGGCGCTACAGGCTAGCATCTACGTTTGTTGCCATTGTTTTGTCCAAAAGTTGCCACAAAAATGGTTGCCCTATATCCACAGTGCTCAGCTGGGTGAGGCAGTCCAGCTCTCCGTGATACAACGACTGGTTCATCACTTTCTCCGCAAAAATACGCTGCTCTCTTGACATGCATCGTAGTTTGGCCTCAACGTTCCTCCCGAAAATATCGAAATTGTCTTCCTCTTCATCACGGTAGATACTATTATTATTATTATTAGCGCCCTTGGATCGTCTCAACATATTGGCTAACCGAGTAAGAATGTCAAGATTGTTTAATTTCCTTTTAATTGCCTTCCGCCTAGAGAAGCGAGTGGAAGTCGTTGTCTTCGCAGTGGGTTTGGATTTATATGAAATCGGCTATGCTGGTGAAATCGAGGGTGCTAGTGATGCTGGCGTAATTTCCGGGATTTGGTCTTGTATCCTATAATTCTCTTCCCCATATTCCGTGTCCAAAGGAGGGAGGTCAGTAGGTTCATCTTCATATGTGAGGCAGCGTGGTGGAATCAGGCTCTCGTCAAAATAATCAAAGTGAAGAAACTTGCATTTTTCCGCAGGTTTGTGAATTTTTATCAACTTTTTGTTTTTTGGCTCAACACCTTTCATGCCCATAAAACAACTGTGCAGATTTTTCTGAAAAACGTTGATTAAAGGCACAAAAATGTAAATTTTCAGTTACCACGGACTCTTAAGCCTAAGCTAAGGAAATAACTAATCTTTGGCTGCAATTTTCTCACTAATGTTTCTCTAAAAACAAGTGACACCCACCTCCTTCTTTCGCAAACATCTCGACTTGCATTCAAGATAAATGGATATTTTTTCATCCAAATAAAGACAAGTTGAATAAGCTTTACGATGATACCAAAAACTCTACATGTCCAAAAATTGACGAGAGTCTGATTCCACCACGCTGCCTCACATATATTTCTTGTTTAACGGATTCACATTCTGCATCCTGAAACAAAATTTAAAAAATCGTGAACAATAAACAAAACAGTAAGTCTGTAATCGTTAGAAGTCTTGAAAGAGAATGATTTTCCACCTTTCTGTAACATTCTATAACTTATCGTTTTTATGTCATTAATTAATTTTACTTTTTATTAATAAACTTATCCATTTATTTGTGAACTGATTAACCTTCTTCTTTATCTACTCATTTATTTATCTCGCTATTTATATTTTCATGAAGGTAAAGAGTGGGGGGGGGGGGGTGCAGCAGACTTGTTCAACCTGGCCTGATACGGCACACAGAATCCAGACAGAAAGACGTGGATACTCTATAAAATTAAACGGTTTTCCCTATACAGGAATGGAACTCAAAGAGTTTGCCTACAACAAGGCAAGGACTAACCACTATATCACAGACTTAGAATATTCAAGCTCAGCTGAAAAGTAAGTTTTAGTAAGAGTTTTACGTTTCTTGAAACTCATTCAGGCCAAATGAGTTCCGAAGATTAAAGGTTTTACAAGAGAGTAACAAGCACACAATAGAAGGAGGGGAGATAAAGACGATAGATGTTTGAAAGGAAAGAAGGAGCAAACCACACAAGAGCACCTGCCAACCACTGTAAAGGAAGATCATAACACCAGCAAACGTGGTAATAACAAATGATAACACCCCTTCATCACCTTTGTTTGTTTACTTGACTAAAGAGAAGTACATTGACACAATAATGGCCATTTAGAGGTGAGAAAAGGGAAGACAGATAGAAACATCAGAGGGAAAGTAAATTTAAGACGTAGGACCTACCAGTGGCACTTTCCAACCTCCCACACCACCACCACAAAAAACAACATGTGGACATTATAACAGGGCACATCCAGACACTAGGCTTATACACTAGTCTCGGCATAAATGTATGGTGCTCGGGAAGGCCCCTGAGCGTGTGTCATGTGTTTACATGAACCTTTGCAAAGGGAGGAAGGGATTCAATCATCTCATTTCCTTGATACTTTAGTGACCTCCCTGGGGGGGGGAGGGGTGTCACTTGGGCCGATTATATGACGACACGTGACTGTTGGGTGTTGGATTCCCCGATTGCACATATGAATCATGAATACAAAGGTGTTGAATGGGTTGGGGGGCAGGGGGTGGGGCAGAAAGACGGACTCACTGTACTGATACGCACTATAAAATGTCGAGAACAGATAAGAGTAAATTGTTCGTGATGGATCTAGTCATAGAGAAAAGTTCTCAGCCGCCCGACTTTCCAAACGACCAGTCCCAACTCGGTAAATGCATGGATGACATTAGACTTTTCTCTTTTGATTTGTTGAACAAGTACATTATAAGTTCTTCGAGCGCAGCTGATTACTTTACTAATATTTTTATCATCAGGCCTTTCTAGTGTTTTACAGCATTCGCGCACATTGCGCATCATGGGCCTAACATTTACGTATGCAGTGACTCAAAGTCAAACGCCAGTCAGAAACCTTCTCTCAAAGACGCTTTTCAAGTGACCAAAAAGCCCCCCCCCCCCAA